GTTTATTTTTACAAAACATGACTTGAGGTAGGGAACATATGTCGCAAACAAATTTTAGATGATATGTGTATTTTTTAAATAGAGAAAAACAGAATCCTAAAAAAGCCAACCCGGGAAAAATTGAAAATGTTACCCGTTCTGAGGTCGGAATGAATTTCCCGCCGCCCCAGCCCCCGACTTAAGAAAATTTCAAATTTAAACAAAAATTGAGATAGCATCAAAATAAGGCAAGAAAACTCTCTAGCTCCCTTTAATAAAACTAAATGACAAAATGTTTTTTCATCATTGCACCCCTTAAATTTTTTAGTATGGGCCGGGATTTTGGAGAAACATATTGTTTCCCTTTTAATGGCGATAAGTGAGCAGCTTTTTTGAACCTGGGTACACAAAATCATGCACGATGTATAATTTAAATACACAAAATTCGATTCTTGCTGTGATCTTGTTTTTGCTAAGGAGTTGTCGCCCTTGCCAATCGTAACGTGCAATGTACAATTTGTTTTAAAATCAATAGAAAAGCAACATAGCAACCAAACACGCAAAAAGGGTAATGCATTTATGATGGACAATATTGGGGGTTCCTTCCTCGTTTGAGTATTTTAGACAGATATCTAAATTTAAGATGATACAAATTGTTTTCTTAACTTTTTTCGATTTTGAGAAATTAATATTTTTTAAAATAAATCCCTTGTAATGTTGCACTTTCTGGGGGGACTTTATAATAAAAAGCTATAATGCTGTCTATTGAAAAATTGTATATAAGCTTGCAAAGAATTTGATTTAAAAAGAAAATTTTTTAAATATAAAAATATTAAATAGATGAAAATTTTTGTTTAAAATTGTGGATTTGAGATGGGATTTTAATCTGGTATATGGTTAATTTATCCCTTAAAAAAAATTAAATTATTTTTCAGTATCTCAAGCTTCAGGTTTTCCCATCTTCAAACAATCTGTGGGAAAAAGGGTGACTCGTACTGTACAAAAATCTAAGATTGATCAAATTTGAAATCTTCACCAAGGCAAACCCGAAATAAAATATAGGTTTAAAAGTTACAATTTAAAAACATCACCAAAGTTACATTAAATAGGAAAAAATTTTTAAAAACTTATGGTTTAAAAAAGTCACTTTCTGAAAAAATTAAATAAGAGCATCAACTAAATTAAAGGCTTCCCAAATAGTAACTAGTTTTTTTAAAAATTTAAAAATTTACAAACTTCAAAAATTTGCTCGGGGGTAAAAAGGGTATACACTCCAGAGAAAGGGTGGTTTTGGTATCTAAACTAGCATTTTTATCGAAACGACAAAAACCCAGAAATTTTTAAACTTCTGAATTTTATTTCGTGAATGCAAAAATTTTAAACTTTCCTTTTTAAACATACGAATTCGCAATTTTGGGTTTTTTTGTCGATGATTTAAAAGACTCACGATACATTCAAAAATTCCGATTTCTTAGGAAGATGAAATGTAAATTTTATAAAGTTAAAATCGTGAGTTGTAAAAAAAAATCTATTTCTGAAGTAAAATTAAAAATTTTTGAAGTTGATATCATAAATTCGTGAAGTAAATGGTGAATTCAAAAAGATAAATTTGGGCTTTTCATGAGGGAAATAAAGTTCTTCGAAAAATATCTAAAACTGAAATTTTTTTATCATGATATTGTTTTTCAATTTTTAACAAGCTAATTTAGATATGTAATTTGGCAAATTTTTTTCTATTATTGACTAAATTCTATTTTTGATCCTACGTAATATAAAAATTTTCGTTTATTTAATTCATTTTTGGACTGTTAAAGTTATATGAGGGTTATTCGGGAAGTCTGTATATCTTCTTTACGTATGGATAAATGAATTTCTTTTCATAAACTTTTTTTACTTAAATCTAATCTGTTAAATTAAGTAAGATATATGCTCAAACAAATGTTTACAGGTACTAAAAATAAAAATGAATGTAACCATACACGAGTCAATGTAATTGAAATTGCCGACACTTCAAACGTCTCATCGCAATGTTAAGTAAAGAAATAAGCAATGATTTCTTTTGATTTCAATCTTCAAAATTGTATACTGTAGTTTAAACTGTATACCTTCTTCTTTAGTTATATCAAAATAATATATAATCAATCTGTGTAGGTTTAATTTTTTATCAACACAATATTCACTCACTTTGCTATCTTGTTGTTATCCTCAAAAATGGGACATTTAATACGATTGTTTCTGAGGTGACTGAGGGTTATTTATGTAAATTTTTTTTGTGCAATCAAACTAAAAACATACGGGTTTTTAAAGGGAAAAATTGGCACCCCAGCAACAAAATTTCTCCGCCTCTCAAAAAAAAACAAAAAATAAAATTTAATATATTTTTTTTAATTCAAACCCTTAAATTTTTATTTTTCCCCTTGCATTTTTAAATATAAGAAAACAAGTTTTATTTTGAGTTGAAAAATTACCCCCTTTTCACAAAATATTTTTTTAGTTTAAAACTTTCGGTGTCATATCCCAAAAAGAAGTTTGCTTATTCACAGAAATTTAAAAAAGCTAAATGGATACGTTTTTGTAAGGTTTTTCTGTACTTTGGGTTTAAAAATTTAGGGCAGTTGATTTTGTTTTTTAAAGTTTTTTGTGGTTTTTTTTACAATTTGATTGCTCCCCTGTATTTATTTAATTTCGGGAAGCTTTTGGCCCAAAGTACGAAAATAAGGGTTTAAATTTTGGTTTTGAAAAATTTTTCGAAAATTTTAAGTAAAATTTTATTTTTGGGTTTTTATCTAACATGTAATAAAAAAAATCTTTTGTCAAACATGTTTTTTGTTTTTCCTTTTATTTAGTTTTTTTTTTAACAATTAAAAAAGTTGTGGTAAAGTGGAAACAACAATCTAAATTGTTTTAATAAAATTTTCAAATTTTCATGTGGAAACAATAAAATTTTCAGAAATTTTTTAAAGGGGAAATTTACATGCTACAAAAAAAAATTTAATTTTTTTTTGAATTTTTTTTACCATTTTTACAATGTTTAATTTTAATAAAAACGGGCCCTTTGATAAAAAGTGTTCGCAATAGTTTAAAACTGTATTACAGTAAAAACTGTTTACAGTGTTCGATGGGAGAAAGAAAAAAAATCATTTAGACGGAGCAAATGTGGGACAGTCTCTATATTAAATTGGTTATGAACATTTTTCATACAATTTTTGTTGAAAAACAGGTATACCATATAAGGGTTTAAGTTTAAAATTTCATGTTAAAATTTAAGTTTAAACTAACCATAAAAATTGTATCTAAAATTACTATTCATTAAAAATTTTATATTGTAAAACGTTTGTAAAAAAAAGTTTAATTTAATTTTACTAAAAGAGATGATCAATTAGAGAATTTAATTTTTTTTATAATAACTGTTTTCTTTACGGATTTAAAGTTTAATAAAAAATTGATAAAATTTTAAATAAAATTTATAAATGCTCCGAAAAAATTAAAATCGGGTTTCAAAAAATAACCAGCCTTTAGAGTTTGCATTGGTTTTTTCTTTATCGCCAAAAAACCGCAGCAAAAAATGTATTGCATTGGTCTTTAAACATTTTTTTCGGGGAAAATTATTTAATTTTCGCCAATTGTTAATTGTCAAAAAAGCCACAGTGTATTAGCGGGTCGCCGATGGGGCATGCAAAATGCTAGATAAACGTGCTTCTGATTCGTCAATCATGAATACGTAATGAAAAATAACAAAAGGGCTTTGCCTTCGGCGTGTATTGAACTTTGTTTTATGTTGAACGCTTTTTATTGCGGATTACCGGTAAATTGGGTTTTAATTGGAGGTAAACAATTTTAACAGACTGCGGGTAAAAAATATACGGAAAATTATAAAATGGGCGATGAAGCAAATCGCTGATCCGAGGGATTTCTTTACCAAAACGTCACATAGTTCAATCATGTCCCTTGCAAAATCGGTTACGGCTCAAAAACGTAACGGGTGACTAAATCATGGGGGTTTTTAGGACTGAAGGGGGTCGGGTAAATACAGCCCTTTTTAATAGTAAATACGTTTTGGCCACTAACTTGGTCCTCTAGAAGAAGTCCCATATACAGGGGGGCGTAAGACAGCTTTACTTAATTGGGTTTTTATGTTTAAAATATTCTACGAGCAACTCTTTGAGACAAACTCTTTTAAAAATTCCCAAAATTTAAAACCAAATTTTTTGTGAAAAAATAAGTTTTAAAATTCTCAAGGTTTTTCTTTTTTCTTTTTAATAGCTATAATTATTTTAAAATACATCATAAAAAAGTATGTTTCTAATATAAACCCAAACATTTTATTTTTACTTTTTTGTAAAAATGTTTAATGTTCAAGGGTGACCGGAACTTCGGTGGGATTTGAAAATCCTTTCTGCGATAGAAATGGGCCGGTTTCCCAAAATATTTTTGCAATCAAAAAAAAAAATTTAAAAAATGGGTTTTTTGTTTCGGGTTTTTCCTGGACACGAGTCGACCCCGATTTGCAAAACATTTATGTGACAGAGATAAATTTATAAATCAATTACAATATTTATTGCTTTATGCTATACTAGTATTGCACTTTCATCTTGTATACTGAATGTTTTCCCTAAATACAAGCGTTCTCGTATATTGCAATCGAGTGTTTAGTTGTTATTTGTAGAAGTCTGGTAGAAAATAAGATGGCACAAGGCCAAATCTAAACACAATCATTTAAATCCTTCAAAAGTTATCCTGCGTTACCCAATAATTAAAAAGAAAATTTGCTTGAAAATGGACATAAATATACTTCTTTATGTAATATACTTCTACCTGTAAAGTGTCTTGGATTAAGTACAGTAGGGAGTGTGAATCTTAGTTGACCATCAGGTTCTTGTGGTAACTCAATCACATATTTCATCACCAATGAAGCCTCAGTTTTAGCTGGTAGATTACCCAGCATGCAACTGAAGATGTCCCCGGCAGAACTGTCTTCTTTTAGCAGCATGGCTGTTTTTCCACTTTGAACAGCATCATCATAAGTCAATTGTGCCTGAGATAAAATGTAGAGCACAACAACACCTATGTGTTTTGTACAGGATTGTCTGCATATAACGTTTTGTAACAATAACATAAAAAGTTATCTTAATTAGCTTATTTTCTTTTTTGTTATTATATTCATTAGAATTACAAGAAAACACAAATATAATTAGCATAGAAAATACAACACTTTTGATATAGATGTGCACATCGCCGCGCTTATAGAATATCGATACTTTACAATATGCTCCCTAGCAATACAAAAATGTAAATAACAGAATTTAGTGTATATATTTAAAATTGCTTAGGATAAAACATTTTCAAAACACTCAAAAAGAAGCAAACATATTTTTTTATATGTAATATATTAAAATGTTACGCTTCAAAATATTCTAGATAAACGAACCTGTAACTCATTTTTTATGGTTATATATTATAATTATAATGCTCAAATGAGGATTTATCAATATTGTAAGTTCCAAAAGAATTATTTGTAAATATATTACCGAATTTACATTTCATGTTACTAAAGGGAGGTAATTAGAAATTTATTTGCCATAAAGTCTAAGTCATTTTTTTCAATAAGAAGTTAATGCAAATATTTAAATGATTACATATAATGTGGACAATATTTTCAGTACATATTTTACACATACTTCGATGTTTGAAAATTGTTTTATTTGCATAATTATGTACATATATATAATTTCACTAATTGTGCTTTACCACTTTGATCACAACATACAGGATCTCTAATTTTGGATCGGAAGTCAATTGAAATAAGAAGAAATGATTTCTGTCTTAGGAAAAAGGTCGTAATGTTAGGTTAGGTTGTTGAAGACTACGGGAGATCGAAAGGCGGGGCTCCACTGTACGGAGTATAAAATATTTAAAACTGTATAAAACCAACCTGCTCACGTTCCTGGATTTCAGCGACAATATGACGGCCATCAATGTGAGCCTCAAACTGAAACACTGCACTGCCATCATCTACAGGGAATGTAAACACCGCCTCAACTGGCGTCTCCTCAGTATTGAAGTAGGTCAGTGTGGATGTCACTTCTGCTACATAGCCAAATATCTGAACATCTACCTTTATAGACTTTAATGGAACTGAAATAATGTTTGAAAGAGAGTTCATGATTGTTTAAACTTGTTTGTCCAACACACAGACCTGTCGCTGATCCCATGATACAGATGAAAGTCAGAATTTACGCATATGTTCTGATTGGAAACGTTAAGATACTATGTACAGACTTTTCCAGAAAAAAACTACTACAAGAGAACCATAACGGCCTTATATCGTTCTTTTCAGTATTATAGCATAAAATCGACTATTTTTCCCTCTTTTGCCCATGTTATAACGGGACCAAAACCATGTGTTAACATAGTCACGCGCTCTTGCTATAGCCCGGTTTCACCTATGCGCAATACATACAGGGCCCAGTAAACAAACAAACAAAAAATGACGATTTGGCCTGTTTGCCGAAGAGTCATGCGCTCTTGTTATATTGAAATTTATTGATTCGAGGGCCTCAGTCGCATATTCAAGTAACTATGCCGGAAAAACGGCGTATAGACATCGGTGCTAATCTTGGTTGTCGCCCTTTCTAAGAAACGGACAGTTGTCATGCACCTGTCAATATTTTGCCCTACCGTGGGGGCGGCGGGCATACACGGGGCTTTAGACAGAAGACCATTCCTGACAGGCGGGAATTCGACAAACTTATGGAATCCGGGTCCCGGGTAATAGACTTTGGCCGGTTTTTAAATCCCGGGACTCGGGAATTTCAAAGCCACAAAATAAAAAAGGGGAGTAACTGCGAAAGAGGTCAAAAGACGACGGCTATATTTTTATTCGTGTTTTAGAAGTTGCAGACATGAAACTTTTCGATTTTTTCTACGGTACTGTAGAGAAAATTGTGGGATAAGGCGAGAAGGTTGCCCCAGAATGGGGATTTATTTGCAAAGGTATACAGGGATTGTATTCTTCATTTGTTTTCTACCCAGACACTATGTGGAGCTTAGCGGTTTTCATGTTTGTCATCTGTTTTCGCGTATAGACCCATTTATTTTGCGAGTCGAAAGGCGTTGGAAATCACATGAAACTGACACAGATCTCGTATTAATAATACTAAATCCACAAAAGAACGTTCACTTTGCCTGTAGATTATAAACGATTACTGCAGAAAATGTCATATCGATTGAGATAATCCCTTTAACTGCATTATGAATGAACTGATCAAGTGACACAAAACGGATGTTGAATTCATCCGTATACGGTTACACACGGGTATGACTACACACAGAATTATGTTATTAATTATTCATTTTATAATTATTTTAACACCTATGCTACCAGTGTAGATCCAGATAAGCTTGCACATCCATGCAAGGGAGTCAAAATCCAAAGGCTGAAGTCACGGGACTCCAAGTCAGTAGTTCCCGTAAGCCTTGTTAGAATCAGAGACATAGAGATAAGCAGCCCTTATATACTCCATTGAAATAGCACTCATGCCTATCAAAAAGTGAAAAATTAGGCATTTTGTAGCAAATAAAACTTAATGGATGTACATTAGATCCTTAAATATTATATACCCTTTCTTTTGAAAGGTAAATCTTTCATCTATGACTGCATGTTAAAATATTGGTTAACTTTCCATGCCTTTCCCTTAGAAAAAACACGGCAGAACATACCCACTGAGCCATTTTTTTTGTCATATGAATAGTTTTGTAACAAAAAATACCAAGAACTTTCTCTTTAAAAAATGATGTAACATTTATTTTAATGGGAAACTGTAAATATTTTTACCTGCAGGCTGCAGCAATAGACAAATGCATAAGTTTTCAGAAAATGTATTATTTTACTGATTTTGATATCTGGTTAATAAGTTTTACTTGCTACAAGTTTTTAGTTTAGCAGGCACGCGTGATATTTTTACTGGCTAGGAAGAAGCCTATCTCTGTTATCTATGTCTCTGTTAAAATATGATTTTTAATAAAGTAAGAAAATGCATTTAAATACAATGTATGTCAAAAAAACAGATCTAAATAAAATAATATCCTTTTTTTCAGATGTATTACCATCATTGTTTTTTATCATTTACTGTTTCAACTGCTTGTCATAACCAGGCTTTGAATCTTGGCTATTGGTTTCATCTTCATTAGTCTTGTATTGCTTTTACGGTCGTGACTTGCTCTAATAAAAAGTAAATTGAATCTGCAGAAACTATGTTAAGGCTTTGTTCTTATCTGATAAATGTGAATGTATTAAAATGTTGATTTACATTTAAACAGGTGAACATTTGGTTGGACCATTTGACGAGTGTTTCTGCCAACAGAAAAACGGGGCAAGGCAAAGGCGTCCGAGACACGGTCTTTGAAAAAGGTATTCAGGCACAATTGCATTATGAGTTGAATTTCATAAATGATTGCCTCAACATTAAATGAGTCTGAGGCCAAAAAAACTCTTTTTTCAGAAAGCCATACAAAACATATAAGGGGTATTGCACTTTTGTGGTCTAAATATGTGTATTTTATCATTATCATGGTAGGGAATCATTGATATGGTGACCTGTGACGTAACATGGTATCTTAAAGTCCCATTATGCATTTGTAAACTTTATTTGAAATAAAAGAGTATTCAGTTTCACACCAGTGACATCAAGTAGAATTCTGATGTAAAAATTTGCATGTCATTTCTTGAAGACATGAAAGAAAATCTTCAAAATACGCTGTAAATATTGCGCTCATGTAGCGCAAATGTAATAATTGGAGGTATGTTTGGATGAAAAAGTAATTTCTGAAGAATAGTAATGCGGAAATGAGCCATTTTCTTTTATAAGAGGATAAGTATGATATGTTTATTCAGTAATTGAAATTTTACTCACAAAAGCATTATGTTCCTTTAAACTTAAAATTCTCCTGAAAAAGCACAATATTGTTTATAATGTCGCTGGGGGCTACTGCAAGTCCTGTCAGTTTACGCATACTCCAAAATATTTTTCTGTTAAACAAAGATATTGACAAAAATTCTCACATGGACACCAGAATCTGAAAGATTATCAATTTCTGCAATACCATGTCATGTGGTCTCCATATCACGTGATTCCCCACCATAAAATTGCAAGATTAGTTTGATAGACTTAGTACCAGCAGAATTGTTAGAAAATAATGTGTTTTCAAAAAAAAAAAAAAATTCAGTACCATATTTGTTCCAAATAGAAGAAAAAACCACCTACTGTTTTATCTATCAAAAATATATATGTTGGAAATCTTTGTTAAGTTGTCGCTACTAAAATTATTAGTTTTTTAAACAAATCCAGGTTCAAGCTTCTATCCAGGCCCAAGCTCCTATCAATTGTTCAAGCTCCTATATATCCCGACTCAAGCTCCCCCATCCAGGCTGAGGAAAGTGCAACTTAGCTTAAGAAAAATTATGTCAGTTTCTTTTTTGTAGCTTTGTGTTGAGCTAATAATTGTTGTTTTCTCCATGAAACTTGGTCCAAAATGTTTGGCTGAAATTCTCGGCCAAAGTTCAAGGTTGGGTCATGTGGGGTTCAAAGACTTTATGTCACTAGGTCAAATTTAGAAAAAGAATGCAAACACTTTAGAGGCCACATTTTTGGGCCCATTTTTTCATTAAAGTTAGTGTAAATGTTCAACTCTAATGAAATCCAGAACATGTTCAAAATTAAGTCATGAGGGGTCAAAATTTAAGTCACTAGGTCCTAGGTCAAATCTTCGAACATTTTTGGTCTAATTTAAATGAAACTTAATAAATTTTGAAACCTTAAAAGGTCATTATAAAAAATGCCCTCTATTTTCAGAAAAACAATGTGGAAGTGGTCCAGGTTTGGCCGCAGGGGGAGGAGGAAGAATGTCTTTTTTAATGACTTTTTGTGTTAAATGTTAAAAATAAAATAAGAAGTTAAATTGTTTGTAAGTTTTTAGCTCATCTTGAGCTGTGAGCACGAAAAGCTATTGTGATCATGACCAGTGAATGTCTGTCTTCGCAAATCTAGTGTCCTCAACTTTTAGTGTTTTTTAACACTCTAAGAGGCCACAGATATGGTTCAATTTTAATTAAGCATGCTTACCATCCCTACAGAAACTGGGTCATGTGGAGTCAGAAACTAGGTTAGTAGGTTTATTTTGTAGCTAAACTATAAATGTAAAATATTAAAGAGCTTATACGATCGATTGTGTGTCCGTGTCCGCATTGGTTTAAAGTTTTTTAAGTCATACATTCTATTCTATGAAAGATATTTTATTGAAAACTAGGTACGGTATTAAGTGGGACTACCACTACCATACTAAGAAGGTCTATAACCATGATGCATTATTTTCAGAATTATGCACCTTTATTACTTGAAAATACCCATTTTTATAAAAAAATATAAGTATCTTCAAAGTCTAATTATTTGAATACTATCAAAGTTATTTAACTACAATTGATACATATATACTCATTGGGAGTGACTTTACCTACCTTACTTCTGAGGCCCATTAATCTGGATTCATTATTTTCCTAATGATAAGCCTTTGTACTTATATTTTTCATTGTTTTTCTGATAACAGTTTTATTTATTGATTGATCTATTAGATATTTACCCTCTCCCCTACCCCGGGGCATTTGATGCACCAAGCAGGCTCAAGGGTGGGGATTTAGACAAAATTGGTTGTCTCTAGGGTGGGGATTTAGACTTCAAAGATTTTAAGATGTCAAATTCCCCTGGGTCAGCCCGCCGCCCCCCGGGCGGGCATAATATTGATAGGTGCATCAATGTAAACAAATACAGTAGTTCTAATCTACCTGTCATTCAGTTTAACACTCCGATTAACTTACAAAACTAGATAACACAAAATTAATATGAGAAAATGTTTTTTATTTATGTTAATGTTGATAAATGCTCTTTATATTTCTTTGAGAGAATAATGCTTAGTGCCTGATTTTTTTATAAACTTGTTTGCTTGGAAAAAAAAACCGATTCTGATGTCACTGATCTTTTTTCTACCGTCAATCTGAAATCATTCTACGAATTTCTGAGAGTCATGTTTTGTCTTGGGTAGAGGGTAGAGTAATGTAACGTTTTTTTTTTTCTTCGAGATAATAAAATCTCCAAAGGCCAAGCTTTGTTAAATCAATTAAAATTTCAAAATTTCGTTCGGTTCCGAGAAATTTTCCAAGTTTGTTGGGCCCCGGAAAAATGAAACGCATACGTAAAAACATAGAATTGGATAATACTTTCCAAGCAACAAGACTTTAATGTAATTGTGTTTTGTATAAACTAT